GTGCTTATAGACTGCACCGTGACTGTGCTTATAGTTACCTCCAGGGGTGTTGTTGGTAACTCCCTTCTGGAAGAGAGGATGGATATTACGAATTCTTTAGTAGCAGCAAGTATTCTGTCTACTTCTGGCTATAAGTCCCTGTGCCAGGTGCTGGGAATGCAGACGGGACATTTTGCTTTCTCTTCAGGGGTTTATGTTCCACTGGGCAACACAAAGTTGGGAAACGTATGAAAGGCTTATTTTTAAAGTATGTTGCTTATATTTTCAAATAATATGCTCAACATATTTTTCTACAACCTCCAAACGTGAGTTCATGTGAAGTGCTTCACAATGTAAAGCAATGACTGACTCCACTGAAATAGGCAATCTGAAAAAACATGCAGGAAGCGCACTATTTTGCCTATATGTCTAGACCTGTTGGTATAGTAACAATTTGGTAAGATATTAACAATTTGGTAGTATAGTAACTTCCTGACCTTTTGCTTCCCACTAGCTGAGGAGATAACAGATCTCTGAAATTACATATAATGATACAAGGCAGCTTTTACTAAGTGGCAGCTGTTGATAGCAGGTGCGGCCACACCAAGAATGTGGAATATCACAGAAGGACACTGTGGCCAGTGGTGCCTGGGCTTCTACACACTGCCTGGAATAGGGTCATGTCATAAATGCTTATCTACTGTGTCTAGTGAGCCACGTTTAATATTAGCCAAAAAGAAACGCGCTAAAACAGATCCCAGCATACAACCCAGGGACCATTTCCAAAATAGTCCTGTTGTGGACTGCACTCATCCAGTAGGACGTGGGTGAGAGGAGGGTTCCAAGTGTAGGTCTGCTCAGTGAGATGGGCAGACTGCCTTAAGTAAGGCGGGCAGAAAGTACACGGCAAAAAAGCTAACTACAGAGGAGGTCCTGGGACTGCCTGGCTCTGCTGGAGTCTGAGAACCCTTAGGACCCTGTCCAAGCCCAGAAAAGAGCATGGAGAGGAGGCTGGGGAAGCAGGAAGCAAACTGATGGGGCCCTATGGCCTCTTTGGAAAACACTCTTCTTCCTAACCGGTTATGGTCAAGGTTGAGGAAGAAGGTGGTGGGTCTGTGGCCTGCTATCCTGAGTTTAGGACTTGAAGCTCAAAGGCTCCTACTTAAGAGGCACCTACTGCCACTCTGGACAACTCCCAGGCCATCCAGTGTTTCATTCTCCATCTGCCATACTCATTTTTCTTCCATGAACACTGGAAAAAAATAATCCCTGGCTGAAAAAGAAGTGTGTGTCCTGTTTTAAGAAGGGGTGTTCCTCAAAGATGTTACTGTGGACTTTATTCTGGAGGAATGGGGCATTCTGAACTCTGCTCAGAGGAATCTGTGTGGAGATATGATGCTAGGGATACATGGGGACCCTGCCCTTTGGGGGTCGACTGCATTTCCCTATAAATGAGGACCTAGCGTTTGAAAGACTTGGGGCCCCCACTGACTAAGAACTATGAAATAACTTGAGCCAGATAGATTGCTTCTGCTCTTTATTATCCCAGGGGAAAGTTTTATTTTTAAAGCAACTTTATTAAGATACAATTTATATATAAAGATTGTACCCATTTTCAGTGTGCAGTTTGATGAGTTTAGAAAGATATGTACAATGTGTGTAACTATCACCACAATGAAGATTATAGAAGCTCCCATCACCCCCTAAAGTTCCTGTGTGCCTCTTTCCAGTCACACCTCCACCCCCACCCTGCCCTCAGGCAACCACTGATCTACAGATCAGATTTGCATTGTCTAGGACATCATATAAATGGAATCATGCAGTATGGAACCTTTTGAGCCTGGCCTCTTTTACTCAGCATAATGCTTTTGAGTTAACCATGCTAGTACAGGTTTCAGGAGTTCTGTCCTTTTTATCGCTGAAGAGGATTCTGTTGTATGGAAACACCACAATTTATCCATTTATCAGTTAGTGGACATTTGTTTCCAGTTCTGGCTATTATGAATGAAGCTACTGTGACCATTCATGTATAAACAAACAAAATTCTGCAATTCCAGGAAGTTCAATAGACAGAACAACCTGATGGGTGATAAACTGGCTGGTCCTCTGGGGCAGGGGGCGGGGCGGGGGGAGGGGCGGGGAGAGTCAGGTAGTTGATGAGTTACAAAGAGCACCTGATTTTTTTAAAAAGCAGTGATAGCCAAAATTGAAAAAAAAACAAATGCTTGTACTGAGCAGAGAGGACTGCTGATCAGGAGTCTTTCAACCGTATGGGAAAAATGGATTGCAACATCATTGGCAGGATATAATAATACATACACTTAGTTGGGGTTTTTTTTGACATGGGCTAGAATTGAGCCAATAAACTCAAACCTATTTTCCTGGCTACTTCTTCATGTTATGTTTGAAGGCCTGTCCAGGCATCAGGGACAAAGAACTCCATCTTCAGAGTTAGAAAAACTACTGGCTGTGGGACCTTGGCTAGGGATAAGTAACCTTGGTAAATGAACAAAAAAAACCAAACACACAAAAAAAGACTGCCTACCTTAAGGGCTTTTAGGAGGATTAGATGAGAATTTATGTAAATCACTTAGCAAGTGTCTATTGCATAAGGCGTGCTCAGTTGGCATAAATTACAGTCTTATGTTTAAAAATCATGTAATACCTTTGATTCATAGTAAAAGAGTTCAAACATATTCCTTAGGAAATTGAAATATTTTAATGTATTTTTTAAAATTACATGGTGAATTCTTTCTATATTATTTATATTACCATTGAAGAATTGAATTATTAATCAAAATCTGCTTAGATTTTAGAAGCAGTATCAGCTAAGTCACAAAACTCCCAGGGGCTGCAACAATAGTCCGGCTCCTCACGCAGCAGCGGTCTAGTTCCAAAGCTCCCTCCAGGTGCTTCTCTCATCTCTGGAGTTGATCAGTAAATCTGATTCATGAGCCCTTCCTCAGAAGGCAATCCTGTGGGCGTGTGACCTGCAAGTTTTTACACTGAGCTTTCTCAGAGGCCCAGCGCATCTCACATCCTCTGAAAGGGGTTCCTGTGGTGGGGTCAAAGGAGCAGGGTTGGAAGCTAAGGACTTGGGTTTGAATCCCAACTTTATTGCCCTCCCCACAACACACACCTTAAGTCTCTTCCCTGTCCAAGCTTCGCTTTCCTCATTTCTACTGTGGGCTAACAGCACCTCACTAGGCTGTCGCAGAATCACATGATGTTACAGTGCCAGGACTGTTTCAATAAAAGCTTGTCGACCCTGTTAACTCCATGTTTTATCTTCCAAGTCTTTCCTATTTCCCACCATTTCCAAAGCCCACTGGCTGCATACAACTTAAATGAAATGCAGTTGTTTTTGCTCTTTCGCTGCGTTGATTTCAAGCTTTTTTTCAAAATTTGTCGAAACCCCCAAAAAAAGTTGATATTTTGACTATTTTATGCATTTAATAATAACACTTTGAGCTGCTTTGTATGACATTTTTTATGTATAAAAATTTCCTATTGTTATTCATTTTTGAAAAACACAAAAATATAGAAAAATGTACATCTGCTTTCCTAAGCTTTCTTTCTGGAAGTTTCCATCCGCAGTTAGCGGATGGAAATATTCATTTGGCTATATCCGACCGTGGTGGCAAAAAGAGTGATTCAGGAATCTCTCTGTAAACAGTCAATATTGTTAAAACTCTCCCCGTATTCACCTTCCGGGAAAGGGTGGGGGGAGTCAAGTTACTCCTGGGTTTGAAGTGGAATTGGTCATTCTTAAGTTATTTAGCCACACGTGTAGGCTTGGTTTCGGTGGGGTAGTTACCCGGAGTGCGCTTCCCTCTGGCTGGGAGCCAGGGCTGGGCTCGCGGCTCGTGCTGCCATCCCCCCCCCCCCCCCCTGCCTGAGGCTTCAGGCGGCTCACCGACCCCCTGCCCACGCCTGGCAACCTTGACGCGCCGCTGCGCCTATTGGCTGGTTTACTTTTATTGATCTGTTCTGAGCGCCCTCCTGGCTTCCGGCGCCGGCACCAGGTGCGGACCGTATTGCTCCAAGCGAGACTAAAGAAGCAGGTTTTTCCTCTTTCCGGGACCAGTGCGGATCTTTGCAGGAGGCGCGGACCCCCTCCCATAGGTGGGTCGGATCCATGGTGGGGCTTCTGCCTGTGAGCACCCCGAGCCCAGTGGGGTGGTGCGGGCGTGGGCAGAGACCCGCGCGCTTCTGTCCCCCCGCGCCTCCCCCGCCCAAGCGGAGGGGATGAGAGGGCTGTCGCCCTACACCATCACCCTCCTTCCCGGGTGTACTCCCCGTATTCACACTCTAAGGAACTCCATGCTGGGAAAAACCTCTCGGCTGAACTCCGAAGTGATGGGACAGGTTGGATGTATTTGAATGCCCGCGTGCTACTCCCATTGGAGGAGGGCAGGCCCGGCCGCTGGTTCGACCAACGAGGGGCCCAGGTGCTCTAATCCCTGTTTTCTTAAGGTTTTCATTTGCAATCACGTTGAAGCCTGGTGGCTTCTTAGGGTTCTAAATGAGAAGACTAATAGTACGTTTTTTTTCCTCGTCTTCCTTACCTTCTACAAAAGAGAAAGGATGGTGCTTCAGAAAAGCATTCTGCCTTGAGATTCGTTGGTGGGTTTCCTGTTGCTCTGTCATCCCGCTTGGCCGTTTTGAAATTGCATCTTTATTGAAGAAGGAGGTCAAAAGCAAAAGCTAGAGAGACCTGGGAGTTGTTTATTTTGTATAAGCCATCATTTGGGCCTTCTGAATTTTCCTTTGAAACAAGAATTATAGTTAAAGTAGATGTTATTCTAAGTAGCACCCAACATAGATGACGTTTAAGAAAAAACTTTAAAAGTAAAATAAGTTTATTTTGTTGGAATGAATGTAACAAAAATTCTCTCATTTGCAGTTAGAAACTCTGGTCTATTATCATTTTGACATGTAGTTCTGTAATGGACTACTAAAGAGGAGGGAAAAAAACCGATTCTCATATTTTCTCTCCCCCATTCTCTTTTGTTTTTCAGTCCAGGGCACAACCACCGGAGGAGAACAGAAGGAAGCCAGTTTTGGGGAAACTTGGCAATCTGTTCACGGCAGGACGAAGAAAGACTTCTAGAAACGGGTTAGAGAGTCTCACTAGCTCAAATGCCAAATCAGTCTCTCCCAAAGATGTAACTTCTACTCAACTCCCTGAAAGAGAGAATGAGAAGAGGAAATCTCAGGGCAGCCAACCAAAGCAAACAGAAACGTGCGAGAAGGGGTCCACTCAGGAGAAGCCGCAGGACCCGGAGGACGAGCCCCCCGAGACCTGTGTCCAGGTAGTCCCCCCTGACGCCGAGCTGTCACCTTGCTCAAGAAGCCATGCAGCGGCGGCTGTGCAGAAGTGCCATGAAAGTGATTCATCCCAATTAGAGCCTCTTGAGGCAGAGGGAGGGTCCTTCTCAGATGCCACCACTGCTGCCAAGCAGCTGCATTCCTCACTAGAGAATTCCCCCAGGCAAGAGAACGCAGAGACTCTCGCCCGCGGTCCGGGGGAGGACGCTTCGCCCAGCCCTAGCTGCGAACAGGAGACAGCCCAGGGTGCGGGGGATGTGCCGGGGTCGCTCACCCAGGAGAGGCCCGCGGGAGAACTAGGCAAAGCTGCTGACAGAGCCCCCCGCCTGGGTGCCGAAGGAGGCTTTTTGGAGCCTCAAGACGCGCGCACCCAGCCCCCCGAGGACGCATTTGCTCCGCCAGGTGACCCTCCTGCCGAGGGTGAGAACTGGGCCGGCTCCACCCAAGCAAACGGCAAAACTGGGCCGCGAGGACTGGAGTGCCGGCCCGGCGAGCGCGCCCATCCTGCCAAAGTGTTAACGTTGGACATCTACTTGAGTAAGACTGAGGTGGCGCAGGTGGACGAGCCGGTTCTAATTACTCCCGCCGAAGAAGATTGCAGCGATCAGGACGATATGGAAAGGAGGTCCAGCGGCCGCAGGTGCGGAAAGCGGAGGAAGTCGCAGAAATCCGCGGACTCCCCGGGAGCGGACACGGCGCTGCCCGACAGCGCGGCCAGGGACGACGAGGTGTTCGACTACGAGGTGGCCCCGCACGCGGCCACCGAGAACTTCGCGGAAAAGAAAGTGAAATCTCCGCCGCCGGCGGACCCGGACGGGGGCGTTGCCTCCGCTGCGCGCCGGGACTCCAAGTCCAGCCCTAGCCCCAAAGGGCAGCCCCGAGGAGAGGCGGACCGGAGCAGACAGCCTCCGCCGGCCTCGTCCCCCACCAAGAGGAGGGGCAAGAGCCGGGTCCCCGAGGCTGTGCCCACCCCGCCCCCTGGCAGCCCGCGGGCTCCCGCCAAGGAGTCCCAGCCCAAGAGGGCGCCCGCGTCCGACTCCAGCCCCGCCGCCAGTGGCGCCGCGGGGGAGAACGGGGAGGAGGTAGCCAGGACCATCCCCAGGGAGCTCACGGTCAAGAGCAGCTCGCTGCTGCCGGAGATCAAACCCGAGCACAAGAGGGGGCCCCTGCCCAACCACCTCGACGGCCGAGGAGAGGGCAGTCGAAGCAAGGAGCTGGGCAGATCGACCGGAGGTCCTGACGCCGACGGCTTGAAGCCCAGGAGCCATTTCGGTGCGGGCAGGTCGACGGTGACCACTAAAGTGACCCTGTAAGTAACTGGAATTGGCCTGGGCAGAGACGCGGTGTCCGCAGCGGTGCTGGGCGGCGGCTCTGAGCAGCTCGGAGGCCTTGCGTTTGTGGAAGAACTATTGAGTGCACTGAATTTTCTCCTCTATGTTGAAATTAAGATATAGTGAAGAGCTAATGGACACAATTATGGTTTAAGATGACACACATTCAGGAGGCTAGTCGCTGTTAATTCCTGTTTTAATATAAGATTGAAGTTGCATGTAAAAATGAGATGTCTGGAGGCGCAGTGTTTACATAAACAATCAAAGGCAGTATGGCTTGACATAGCTAATTCTATTCTTTATTCAAAATGTACACTGGCATTCTTGGATAGAACATTCTTAAAACACATATAGTGAATTTGAAAACAGAGCAAACACTGGTATGTTCATTATGTCCCAGTAGCTTTGACGTGTGAGTTTAAGAGAATTCACAGAAATGTTTATGGAGCTTAGTGCACTATTTGCCTAAAGCCTAAAAAAAACAAAACAGTAAAAGTCTTCCCCTTTATAAACTTAGGGAGACTAGTGATATTTTTGCTCCCCCAGGTTGAAAAGTAATTGTCAGTTATTGAAATTAAGAAAGGTCAGTGTTCTTATTGGGAGACCACTAAATGAAAAGAGACATTAGAAGAATCAGGTTCAACAACAGACTGACTAGTTGCTGTTAAGTTGATCAGTTTTTCAAATATTTATTGAGTATTCTCTGTGCACAGTTTTGTACTATGGGGAAAAACCACAACTATGATTCAGTATTTTGCCCTTGAAAAGTTTATGGCCCAGTTTGGCACACAAGATGCTGACAAATCAAAGAACAATGTGAAGTGATATCTGACTAAAGTGCCAGTGGATGGTGACCACCCCTATAAGGCTGAGAATGTGTAAAGGAGGAAGAAAATCAGTAGGGTTTTTTTGTGTGTGAAGGGGTGGGACTTGTGCCCTCATGACAAATGTGAGTTATATATAGTTGGACAGAATAGGGAGGGCAGACACTATAAAACTCTTAAAATCTTCCCCCTTCCCATACTCTCTTCCATCTCCCAGTCAACGTATGTAAAAATGTTTATCTACAGTGCTTAAGTTTCTTCTGCATTCACACATTTATTTTAAAAGCTGGTATTTTCACAACATTATCATTCTCAAACCCACCAGTCCATTATGACTATTGGAATTCTTGGATAAGTAAGCTTTAGAGTAGGAGGTCTGTTTGGTAAACACTTGAGAAGAAAGTCTGCTTAATGAATAAGGAGCTACCTCACCAACTGCTACCTCGCCAGCTGCGAACCTGGAGACCTTTGATATAGTCAGCTATTTATTCTGTAATAGCAGCATCGGAGGAGAAATAACCTGATTGGATGATGCCCATTATTTGTAGCAAGCCAGTGTGCCAACATTCAGACCTCCTAAGTGTGAGCCTTAGAGAAACTGTTGTGTACCTGATTAAGGAGGCCCCTGCCTTCCAATAGGAAGACACCAGTGGAAAAACCAGAAATGTTACACTGTTAAAGAGTATGGTAAACAAACCTGGGGAAGCCAGTGTTACAATGAAACTCTTCTTTATGTGCTGTTGTCTGCAATAGAACTAAACCAAATGTCTTCTTCTTAGTACTGATTA